TTGAGAGGAGCAATCAAAAGATTGTGTTTAAAGAAAAAAAAAAGTAGGTCATGGCCCATTGCGGGGCTGGGGTGAGAGAATTGAGCCAGATTCCATGGACTCATTCCAAGAGATTCTCCAGGCTTTCCAGACTCCATATCAGAAGACTTTAAAAGGAAAAGCCTCTCCTGGTCTTAAGTTTACAGGTCTAAAGGCTCAGGGGATATGAACCAGACAAAGGCTAGAGACAGAGTATGCAACTTCTGGGCCAGTTGGAACCTTGGCTAGAGTAGGAAGCTTCCATGCTGATCCTGGTCCAAAGAATGAGGGGAGGACTCTGAAGTGCTTCCCATTTACCCGCAGCCCCGCAAGGAGATGTCCTTGTTAGTGACATTTCACAAGACCGCACAGCAGAGTCTGCTCAATATCACACTGGGGATGGACAAGGCCTGCCTCTGGGTATGCCCCAAAGCAGACTAACAGGCCTGCTTTAATGTAGTGCCAGGTGAGGTGGGCCAGGAAGGCTTGGCAGAGTGAGGACTGGGTGCTAGAGCACTGGGGTACAGGGCAGGTTCTGAGAGCTGCCTGCAGGCCAGGGCCTCATTCTCAAAGAGTCAGCTCAAAGAAGCTTCCCCATGACCCCCATCGAAGCCAGCTTTGCCCATTAAAGTATCCAGGAAAGGAAGGCTTGGGGTCTCCACTTCCTGATCCAAACACCCCAGCACTGCACTCTCCCATTTCACAGGAAAGATTTCCACCCATGGTGCCCACCCTGGAGGATAGAAACCTAAAAGGATCCATTGCCAGGAAGCGAAAGGAGGGCGCTCCTTCCTGGGCATAGTGGAGAATGAAGCGTGGGCTGCCTCTTCTCTACATGCCCCCCTCCCGCCACCTGTCCCCCCTAGGCTCCTCCGTGGACATGGGGAAAGGGTCCATGGGTCAGTAAGTCAGGCTTGCAGGAGCATGGAAAAACAATCAGCTCCTCCCCTTGCAGGCTTGCCCCTAGGTCCTTCAAATCTGCCCTCCCAGATCCTCTACCCCAAGGAGGTGTCTCTGCCGTGTCCTCCTGTGCCGAGAGCTCATCTCTCCAGGTATATAACCTCGAGTGTAGCAGGTGCAGTGGAAGGAGGCTGCCCCAAGAGACTGACTCACAGACCTGGAGGGGTCCTTGGAGATTGGTGAGCATCCCTCTGGGATCAATGAAGAAAAGGAGGGCATAAAGAGTGAAATGGCCCATCTAGGACCACCCGGGAGACCAAGGGCAGGTCTTCCAGCTCGAGTGTGTCCACGACGACCACTTCCGCCCACCACCATCTCTCTGTTTCACCCAAGGGCACCTTTCCCACCCCAACTCAAGCCTCAACGCTGATAGGCAAAGCTCCCCAGAGGATACCTGGCCAGGCCGGAACAGTGCTCCAGGCCGTCCTCCATCCCTGCCCTTCCACTTGCACGACCACACTTCACAGCCATGCAGGGCGAGGGGCTGGGCAGGGAGGGGTGGAGGGATGCCCTGGTTCTAGACCAGGAGCTCACCCTGTCACATCCTGGAGCACCTAGAACATCTACCCTGGACCCAGTTCAAACATGTAGAGACCACACCGTCGTGGGTCCTGCGGCGGCTGCTATCCCACTTTTCGTCCTGATGCCCAGAGCCCCCTCCACCTGGCTCCGTGCCTCAGACACCGTCAGCCCTTAGTCCCAGGGACGCCTCATTCCTGACCCTCCCGACACTGAAACTTGTTGAAACACCCCTCTGGTTCTATGACGTGAGGCTTATTCCCCAACCTCGTTCCTGGCTCCCCCCACCCCTGGGAAAACAAACAAAAAGCCCCTCTAGTTCTTCAAACAGACACAGAGGTTCTATACACCTGAAACCACCCTGCTCTGAAGTCTCCCTGCTCCCTCAGGGCCACAGACGCCCCTGGGAGCCACACATGTTGTCCTTCCATAACAGAGGACTCGTGAAGGGGGTGCTGGGGTTCCTCTGCTACCGCTCGCTCCTCATCGAGACGGCTGGGTGGCGGGGGGGGGGGCGCTGCTGTGGTGCACCCGGCCCACAAGTGTGCACGGGCTCCTGAAGGCCCTGGCCTGTCGTCCCCGGGCTTGGACTCAGCTGGCCTTCCAGCTCCCTCCCAGAACCAGCTCCTGGCCTGTCATTGCACTGACACTGGGTAAGGCGGCCTGGCAGGTCATGTTAGCACCTAGAAGGAGAGAATGCCTCTCCATCCAAGAACCACTCTGCTCCCTTCCACCATGTTTTGGGACTCAGAGTCCCACTTTATCCCAGCTACCACGAGGCTCAGAGCTCCAGCTCGGTGACTGCTGGACTGCACACCTGTGGCATTCACTCCTGACTTTCTTTGCAGGGCCCTCAGTTTTTTCTTCCGACCATGCTCCTGTTGTATGCATAGTTTCTTCTGTTTTCTTTTTAAAGATTTATTTATTTATTTTAGAGAGGGAGAGAGAGAGTGTGTGTGAGCAAGAAGAGGGAAAGAAGGAAAGGGAGAGAGAATCCCCAGGCTCCAGCATGAATCCTTATGTGGGCTTGATCCCAGGACCCTGAGACGTGACCTGAGCCAAAATCAAGAGTCAGCCGTGTAACTGACTGAGTCACCCAAGCGCCCCTGCATAGTTTATTTTAAATTGCCTCAATCAGTGTCCGTAGGTGATAAGGCCTATGTTTTTAAGCAAGCAAAAGAGAAAGTCCCACCTTCTTCACAGTTTTCCAGAGCCCTGCAGCTAGCTCTGGGGATCAGGACCAAAGCCCTCTGAACTGAGGCACTGCCTGTTTTCCAAACCAAACTAGCGCTCCCCCTTCATCCAACATGGCCCCAGAACTCCCATGGTACAAAGAGGCCTCCCTTCCCTCTGCAGCCTCTGCCTCAGTGTTCCACATCTGCCTCCTGCCAGGCCTAGACCAACCACAACTGGCTTCCACCCTCCACTCACTCACATGGATTCACACACTCCCTCACACATATACACCACACACATACACTTTGCTACACCCTCACACTCACACTCTCACACACATACACACTCCCTCCCATGTACACCCACACACATACACACCACGAGGCACCATGTCTCAGTCACTCCCTCCCTCAGGAACCCCCTTCTCTTCTGGATTCTGGCACACTCTCTCCTGGCTGTCCTTCTACCTCCGAACCTCCCTGTCACAAGTTCTCCTTCCTCTGCCCCTCCCTGAAGAACTCGTGTGTCTAGCAGAGTTCTGCCTCACTATCCACACCAATGGCTTCTCTTATCACCAAAACACTGAGGATGCCCAAATCTGCAGGCATCTCCAGCCTAGACTCCCTCTTGGGCTCCACCAACCCACCCTGCACCATTCCACTCACTGATGGAGCTTTAATCACCAACAAGGTACCCAACAGCTCCCAAACCCACTTCTCCACTTCAGCCCCTTTACTGGGCATGCCCCCAGGCATAGCCAAGGGGATGGCAACGGTCCTCCAGGCACCACAAATGCTGCACATCCCAACCTCCCCCCACCACACGCTGAATGGCTCCTTCGTCCCATAATTACTCGACTAGGAAACATGGCTGTCACCATTCATTTGTCCATTCCAGTAATGATTGTGGAGTGCTCACCATGCGCCAGGCTCTCTGTGTAGGACGAGGTGTGGTGTAAACAAAACAGAAATGACTTCTGCCTCCGGGGAACGAACTTTCAACCAATCACCCAGTCCTGTCAAGTCTACTTACCAATCATATCTGAAATGATACACTTCTCTCCACTCCTGCGGCTGCCGTCTTAGTGCAGGCCAGTGCGCTACGCTGGAAAGCAGCAGGATACATGGATCCCAGCTCCGAAATGTATGAGCTGTGTGACCTTAGGCAAACTACCTTCTGTATCTCAGTCTCCTCATGTGACAGATAAAAATGGTAATTGTTACCTACATCGTAGCTTTGTTGTGAGAATTAAATTCGATAAACCATATAATAAACCGACGTCCAGCACAGAGTAAGCAAACCTCTTGTGGTTTGCTTACTCACAGCCCTCACCACGTGCGCCCACCATCCGCAGCGCCCCATAAGGCCAGGCTCTCTCCTACCCTCCGGCCTCTGCATATGCTTTTCCAGCTGACAACATTCCCTGGTTTTCTCCTTCTCATTTTTCAAGGTTCAGCTCAAGGCCCCCTTCCCTAGACCCCCCGGGCTGAGGCAGATGTCCCTTCCCGACACAGCCTCATCTGAGAGCCCACAGCCCTCATCCCCTACACTGGGATCGCTGCCTTGTCTGTCTCCCCTTCTGCACTGGCTGTTCCTCGCAGAGCACAGTGTTCACCTCTGCACACCCTTAGAACTAAGTGCCGGGTGCCACCGCGGCTAAATAAGTGCTTAACAACAAACAGGGAAGACAGAGGAACTCTAAAGAAGCACATTTCACCTCACTCTAACGACAACCAAAAAAACCTTCCTAATAATTAGGCTACACTTACTAAGCATTTCCTCTAAGCAAGGCTCTGTGCTGAGCTTTGGGCACACATCACAACCCCTAATCCTCAGGATAATCCTGTGACGTGGGCATGTTTACTCCCGTTTACAAGTGAACGAATGGCGACTCAAGAAAAGTTTACAACTTGCTCCAAGTCACACAGCTAGTGAGCGGAAAAGTCAAACCCAGGCAGTCAGACTCCGACCCGCACGGCAGGGCAGCACCAGCCTACTAGGAGCTACCTCTGTGATTTACCAGAGCCCCATCCTGGTGGCCACATGACCTCATGGGGACCTGAGGTGGGGGCTGCCTCCAGAGGTGGGACCCAGTTCAATGAAGGCCCCTTCTTAGTCCAGGCTCTAGGGGCCTATGCTTTGAAATTCTCCGTTCCTTGGCTTGTGAGCACAAGCTGAGCACGAGCTGAGCACGGAGTAGGCTGACAAACCATAAACCTGCGCCGACCAACCGAACGAAGGAATCAAGTGGCCGGCAACGGGATCTGCGCATGTCCCTGCGGGGCCCGGAAGCGCAGGGCGGGGAGCTGGGGCGGCGGCCCACTTACCGGCACAGGTGGTCGGTCCGGCACACGCCGCGGAGGTCCAGGCAGTTGGGCTTCTCCTTGTCCTCGTAGGAGCAGCTGGGCAAGATGGTCTGCCGGCGGCGCTCGGCGCACGCCTGGTCTTGGCAGGAGCAGAAGAGCATGCGGTAGGTGTACTCGCTGGGCACCCGGTCGAAGAACTGGCGCAGGGCCTTGTGGCACTTGCGGCGGTTGCAGCGCTCGGTGGGCGAGATCTCGCGGTTGCAGATGGAGATGTAGGAGGAACGTAGCTTCTTGCAGTTGTCGTTCAGGTTGCAGGCCTTGGCGGCGTCCAGGCAGTGGTTGCTCTTGGCGCTGACCGCTGGGTCTGCCCCTGTCCCTGGAGCGGAAGGAGAGAGCGGGTCACAGGCCTGCCCAGGCACCGGAAGCCCACAGCCACCCGCTCCCTGGGGACGCCTCCCAGCATCCACGGTGCCCTTTGCCTCAGTTTCCTCATCGGTGAAGTGGGGACACAGCCAGGATTAAATGAGCGAATAAACAGGTCCAGGTGCTTGTACCTGGGTACGACAGCACCTGGTACAGACCAAGCTGTACCTGTGGGGATCTCTGATGATGAGGACTGTTAATTCAGTCTTATTTAAAACTTATCACAACCAAAATGGCAAAAGCAACTAGGTGTTCGTAGTCCTGTTCACAAACAGGACATAAAATGACTGGCTCAAGATGATACAACTAAGTGGCAGCTGAGGCAGGATGGGCCCCCAGGTCCCTGAGCACCCAGCAGCAGCACACTTGAGCGGGCTTCTGGTCAGGGTCCTGCTGGCATTTAGGGAGGGACAGTCCTCATCGCGGGATCGTCAGCACCCCGAGTACGAAGAGCACCACTGCCACCACCCTCACCCCCACCATAGGACCACTGAAGCTGTCCCTACACGTTCCAAAATGCCCCAAGGTGGGGGTGCTGCAGCAGTTAGTTAGTCCAGAGAACCACTAAAAAGGAGGTGCAGGTGGGAGCCCCGCGGTGGGAGGTAGAGGCTATAGGCCAGCCTCAGACTCTAACAGGGCTGAGCACATAGCCAGCGGAAGGGTAGGTGTGCTGGATGTGGGACTTCGGTGTTAGCGCCATGCCTTTGAGTTTTGCATCCCTGCCCACGGAGCGCAATGTCTTGGACACAAAGCAGAATTCTCAGAAATTGTCAGGTTCCTTTTGTGGTGGCTACCCCATCCCGCAGGTCTCAGCTCTTCTAACAACCGCCTGACCCTCCACTGCCAGCCAATCTCCACCTACAGAGTGCCTCTTGTCCATCCTGACAACAGACAGAGGAGGGAGGCAGGAATCCAGTCTGCAAATGCCCACCTGAGACATTCTGGTGAGAGCCAGATGGGAGATCACCTAACCCTACCTCTTGATTTCGCAGATAAGGAAACTGAGGCGCTAACAGGCAAGGGTTTGCCCCAGGTCACCCAGCACACTGGCAGTAAACAAGAGCAGGGACCCAGTCATGCCAGCACTGTGTACACCATCAGTTTAGCTTTTAGGACCGATGAGCTGCACCCTCTTCATTCATTCTTCATCCACCCAGTAAATGCTTGCCAATATTTAGTGAGCACCACCCACGTCATGCAAGGTCCTGGAAGCTGTTGGGAAGGATGTGGGGTGAGGAAGGCTGACACCATGCCCCCCTCCCGTGGCCAACACAGGTGCCTGAGCATTTCCAGCACGTTCCTGATCTCTGGGTCATTAAAGATCTATCAAACCCCACCTCTGCACAGCCCCCTCTGCTGGGTGCTGTGTCAGATACAGATGTGTAAGAGCTCGTCCCAATTCTCGAAGAGCTCACAAATCTAGCTGGGAAACCAAGAGACAGAATAGCATAGCGGTTAAGGCTGGGTGTTCTAGAACTGAGCCATCGGCATTGAATGGCCCTGCTGTGTGGCTTTGGACAAGTGACTAAAATCTTCCTTTGCCTCAGTTTCCCCATCTGCATAATAGTACCTTCCAAATAACCTTGTTGTGAGCATGAAAGAGATCACTCATTTCTTTCTCTCTCCTGCATGATAACTTTGCCCTGTCTACGAAATCATCCCCATCAGGTGTTACACCACCCATCTTGAAGAAAAAAAAGCTTCCTAATGACCATACACCCCCCGTTAAGGTACCACCCTATTTTTCTCCTTCCTTGAAGGCAAACCCCTCAAAGGAGTTGTCCATTCCAACAGTCTCTTTCTCCCCTCCTGGTCTCACCTGGATCCACTGCAGCCTGGCACTTGCCTCCTGCTCTTGTCAGTGGTCAGGGATCCTGGGGCTTCCTCGTCCTCAGCCCATCAGGACACTGGACACAGCCAGTGGCCCTCTCTGGCCCCCTTTCCTCACTCCCTTCCCCCCTCTGCTGGTCTTCCTGTTCTCGCCTAAGCAGCCTTCTGCCTTCTCCTCCAGGGCTCAGCCCCCTCTTCTCTCTGGGCACCTGCTCCCCGGGGCCCTCATGGCTTGTCCCCACCCAGACCTCCCCCTGGACCCCAGATTTGTATGTCCAACTGCTGCTTGCCCACTCTACCTGGAAGGCTGACACCCACATCTCAAACCCACGTGTTCCCCGCAAGGCTGTTCCCGAGCCCCAGTCCTCCTCATCCCTCTGAAAACAACTCACACTCCCGGTAGCTCGGGCCAAAAATCTTGGCACTTCCATGAGTCCTCTCGCATTCACACACCACGTCAGACAAACCAGGCAGTTCCACCTCCAAAACATATGCAGAATCCAATCACTTCTCACCACCACCGTCCAAGCCATCATCACTGCATGCTAGCAAGAGCCTTGCTTCCCAGTTTCCCTGCTCTGTCCTGGAGCCCACCCCAACCCCTGCCTCAAAACAATCCTCTCATCGCAGCTGGAGTGAACCTTCTAGAACCCAAGGCAGAGAGATAATGCTCCTGGGCCCCAACGCTTCCTGTGGCTTCCCATCTCACTCGGGGTACGGTCTTCAAGGCCCTCTATCTGTGTTGTCCAGTATGGTAGCCACTAGCCACACGTGGCCATTGCATCTGAAATGTTGCTAGCCCAAAATGGGATGTCCACACCAGATTTTGAAGATGTGCTAAGAAAAAATAAAAATCATGTAAAGCATTTCATTAATAATTTTTTAGTTTGACTACATATTAAAACAATAATCTTCTGGAAATATATTAAACAAATATATTGTTAAAATTACTTTTACTTGCTTCTTTTTATTTTTTAATGTGGCTACTAGCAAGTTTAGAATTATGTAGGTGACTCATATTTCTGTTAGGCAGCACTGCCTTATATGACCTCACCTCCTACTCTTCCTGGTCACTTCCTCCATTCCAGTCACAAGGGCCTCCTTGCTCTTCCTGGACTGTGCCCTGACCTCAGGGCCTTTGCACTTGCTACTACCTCTTCCTGGAAAGCTCTCCCCCATTACCTTTCTTCACTTCTTTCAGGTCTCTGTTCAAATGCTACCTTGTCTGTGAATCCTTCCCAACCACCCTCTACATAATAAGAAGCCACTCCCATTACCCCTATTCTGATTCCTTTTTCCCACAACTCATCACCATCTACCATAGTATACACTTCCTTAGTCATTTGTTTGTGTCAAATATAAACGCCATAAAAGCAGAGGCTTTATTGGTTGTACTCACTGCTGTACCCATATTTCCTAATGTCTGATGCATGGTAGGTGTTGAAGACAAATTTAACAAGTGAAAGAATAAACGTACTTAGAATAATATTTAATTCCTAACAAGTACTCAAAAATTGTTGGCTAATATTATTAAAGAAGCCAAAATTACACAGAGCCAGCAATAGTGGTCAATACAAGACCATGTGTAATCAAGTATCAGTGTGGCCCAGAACGGCTCAGATGTGAAAGTCGGGGGACGATGGACGAAGACTGGGCCTCACCCCGACACCCTGCCAACAACAGCCCTACAAAGGCAGAAAGAGGAAAGTTTCCTCTCTTCTTCTTATAAAAACAAAAGGGGGGGATTAAGGCAGAAAGAGAATTAAGGTTGGTTTTCCTACTCATTAGATAAAACAGATCTTTATTGAAGGCCTACTGTGTGCCAAGCACTTCCTCAGAGACCCAGCTGGAAACAAAGGGGCTGAACTGTGCGTCGGGGAAGTCAGGGTGCTGTGGGAGCAGAGAGGAAAGCATCGTATGCCCAGACCAGAGGTCACAGAAGCAGTGGCATCTCTGCTGAACCTACAGGATGAGTCGGAGGAGCAAAAAGAGTACAAAGCGGGTCCCAGGCTGAGCCAACAAAGAGCTGGGGCAAAAGTTGGGAGGCGCTGACAGCAACTCAGGATGCCTGGAGATGGAGACTGAAAGAGGAGCCCGGAGAGCAGACCGGGGGCTTGTCCACAGTGGGGTGCGGGCTCCCGAGCAGTCGCCCCCAGCTGAGGCCACACCATCCTGCCCAGGGCCGGGATCCAAGGACACCTGTCTGCACACAGGCTGTTCTGGGGGCACTCCCTCTACAAAGGCTTCTCTCCCCCGCCAGCCAGGCTGCTCTTCCACGTTCCTTGCACCTGTCAGGACACTAGCAGGCAGAAGGGAAGAGCGAGTGAAGCGACCTGGGGCGGAGGTGAGGGGAGCGAGGACGGCGAGGGCCCCCGGAGAGGAGTGGGGCGACTCCGCACGCGGAGCAGCAGCTAATTTAGGCCCGCGGCTGCTTTTAGGTTCCCCAGGTGCTCTGCTCCCGCTCCTCTCAGCGTGTTCCTGAGCTAATGCCGGTGTAATTACAGCCTCAGTGCCTTCCATTTGGAGCTTGAATAGTGAAAGCTTGTGCTAGGGGGCGGGAAATGTAAACCCCTGGGCCAAAACTTGGTAAATTTCCTAGAAAAAACAGTAAATGTGGCAACAGTAACAGCAATTGCCTAGTTACAGGGACGAGGCCCCTTCGGACCCTCCCGGAGCGGGTGCCTGCCCTGGTGGGGAACGGCCCCTTCCGACCCTCCCGGAGCGGCTGGCCGCCCTGGTGGGGAACGGCCCCTTCCGACCCTCCCAGAGCGGCTGGCCGCCCGGGTTGCCAATGACCCCAGAGGCTGGCTGGGCGCCGCTTTCCCTCCAAGCAAGGAGGCACGTTCCCGGGCAGGCAGGCCGAACACACAGCCCCTCCCACATGCACTCTCTCCCACCACTGAGCCGGCTCTCCCCTGGCTCCAGAAGGCTTTGTTTTCTCTTCCACAGCCCCCACTGGGGGAGGAAGGAGGGAGGGCTGGATTGCAAACAGGAGCCTCACCCAGTGTGGGCCTCAGCCCCTTGACTAAACTGTCCAAAGGGCAGGGAGGGAGGCGCCCCAGCTACCCTCCCTTCGCGCCCCCTCCACACCCCTGGCAGAGACCACATAGGACCAGTGAAGGA